GATATTGTTTGACTTTGTACAGAACAGCAGGAGTTTATAATGTACTTGAAATAAGTAAAGATACCAAATTACTTAGGAAAATATGAATTTCACCTATAAGAAAAGTGCCAAAGTAAAAGTCATAAAACTACTCACGATAATCCAAGATTTAAAAAATAATCCTTGGTAAAATTACAAATCCTCAAGAAATCCTTATACAATGTATTTATCTCTGCCGAACAGGAATCTGATTCTGTTTAGTAACTTAAATCAGAGCATGTCAGCCGTTATCTGAGGTCATATTTAAATGTCTGTCACATAGGTTGAATAAAATACATCAGAATCCAGCACCAAATCCCTTTTTATACACTTTATTTTGAAATCTTATCTTTGCAGATGAATAAAAGGAACACAGTGAAACACCTGACTTCATCCCTCTTTATACTCTGCGTTGAAAACATAAAAAAACTATCCCAACTTTAATCCTTAAAGGACACACAGCAAACACTCAGCTTTGAAATATTGATAATATTACATTTTGTAGCACAATTTTCTTTCAAATCATGTATTTCATTGCTTAAGAGTGACAAAGAATTGCACTGATGTAAATGCTGAGTAAAATACCAGCCGTTCAGCTTGTTTTAAATAATGTGAATTTTAAGCTAAAAGGAGTCTGAAAAAGGAGTCTGGATTTTCCTTAATTTAAAGAAGTGACAAATTTAACCACTGAACATCTCGCTTTGCTGAATGTGATGATTTTAAACCTAGAAGAACCAAATGAGAGGGTTGCATTTTTAGGTTTTAAACTTGGCAACAACCTCAGACACCTAAATATGTGCCAACGCATAAAAAAGACCACATTTTTCATTTTTCATAATAAATCTACATGTTACTCTTTCTTTCCATAATTTATAATTTGGGTATTGTTAAACATTGCACTGATGTAAATTTATTACATGGGAAAACAACATTTGTTTCTGCTACAGCACATTCACAGGAGCTATAATTGTGGTTTTATAAATTTGTGACTCTTCTCTCTTCCTAAAAGGAAAAAAAAACTGCTGCAAGAAATCATCTTTGCTGCATCAGGACTTAATTTATTTTGTTCCTGTTTAAAGATAAACCTAAAAGACATAAAGCATTTAGATCTCATCTGTAGGTATTAATATTGAAAAGAATAACAAGAATTTTTTTAACCATTCTGCACTCGAGCTTCAACAAGAGCAAACCTTTCAAACAGTCATGCGCATAAAATAAAGATGAGGTATTACTTCCTCCACTGGAATGATATCTTAATCAGATTTCTTAAACTCTTTACCATATTTATTTCTGCGCGGATAATGTAGTGATCTATCAGGAGTCCCTGATTGATATACCATAAAGTTAACATAGTTAATGGTGAAGTTTCCTGTGGGACCACAGAGGGTTAAAGCTGGGTCAAAGGCAGCGTTACTGAAGGCATGAAGGGCCTGAAGGAGCATTCATTCCTCCCTGAAGGCCCATCTGTCAGATAAAAGAGCTGAGTGCAGAGATAATGTTTAACCAAAAGAACYGTGTCAGATGATTCATAAACTGCTTCCTCTTTTTTCTTTCTACCAGAGAAGCAGAAAGAAAACGATCACGTCTGAGTTAAGAAAGGTGGCATCACAATGCAACAAACAAAACACGGTTAATAACCGTTTCACTTTTCAAAAAAACACCTAGTCATTTCCCAAACAAAACCAAGAATGACAGAAATGCTTTCAGTGTTGTGTGGATTAATTCTCCTTTTGTTGCTAAGATAAGACCCACATGAGCTGAGACRGATCGCTCACTCCCGGCCTGACTCACCGGCTGCTGTGCATGTGAACAACAGGTGTGAGCCGAGACGGGGAAACTGTTATCAGAGAAGGTTGAGAAAGGTCAGTGGACTTGAGTTTGTGAAGCAGGTTAAATCAATAAAGCAAGTGTCTGCCTCCTGGTGAATCAGGTTATTTATTCAGATAACACGAAGCTGCAGCTTAAATTGTGCATTGCATAACAAAACCCATGAATGCGTCCCCAGATAAACAGTCCTCCACGTACATATGGTCCGAGTTATGTGCATGCCAGTGGCTGGGTTACAGTTTGTGGTCACAAGAGCTTGTTTCCTTATAGGCTTGTCTTTGTTGAACCGGTGGGCGAAGTGGGTCACAAACGAAGGAAAATTCCCATCTGTGAGAGCTGCAGCAGACCCAACACCACCGCTGTAAACATGGGGGGAAAAAGAGTTCTTGAATCATTAATAATCATCAATTATTGATCCCATCACATGTAAATGGCTCCTTGGGCTTCAGCACATCTTGGCAGGAGAGAATTCATCCTGATTAGCCTGGTTATCTGCCAGAACTTGACAAGGAAATAAACAGAGTTAAATGTGTTGGTTTGATTAATTATTTTTTAAATATTATCTATAAAAATATAGAGAATAGTTTATATAGTTAGTTTTCTCCTGTGGTCTTGATTTAAAAACACATCTGAAAAATTCCTATGATGCCATGTAACAAATAAACTCAGTAAACCCAATCATCTGAGGTTTTACAGAAGAGAAATCGCTTTCAAAAATTAGCATTTAACATTATCAATAAAATATTTAAAATACACTAAGACAAAAATAATATTTTAGTATCTCAAAGACTGTATCATGAAAAACCCTAAATACCCCGTATGAGTCACCGCCAATGTCTTGTTATTAGATGATTGCTTTTTTTATTGAAGCAATATATATGAACGTTGGTCTGTATTGTTATGAAACTATAATTTTTCATATTATTTTACAAAATACAACAAAATAGAATTGTAAATTGTAATCTCAACCCCCAAAAAACAAAGGCCAAATCCTTAACAAATTGTAAAACAAGTGCATAAACCCCCACCCTGCAGACGTTTGTAGTTTCTCTGACTCATAAATTAGTCAGATATTTTTAGTCAGGCAGCATTCTGCTCGTCCATCTGCACGAACAGATGAGCCTCTGGTGCTTCTGCCCAGCGTCACAACCAGTGAGATGCCTGCTGGAGATAAAAGTCAACCAGAATGCCAAAATGTGTCTGCTGACAGCAACAATGGCAGGCAGTGGAAACCCAGCCGGCACAGACAATGGCCCTTACTGGTCCACCAGCTATCGCAAAAACAACACACCATGTCAAAAGACTAAGGCAGAACCTGCTCAGCAAAATATACCCTGGAACGTCAACTTGTTAAATAAAGAAAAATGTATTTAGGTTCTTATTATTGACTGATTTTGTGGTGTTTTCTTATGAAAAATACAACCAGTCTCACATGACATACTGTCAATTTTAATTTGAGATGTTCATTTTATCAAAACAATAGGGAGTTATATGAGCCTGTGTAACATGTTAAAATATTCTTCTATCAAATTTGGTGTATAAAAATGAACAAAACACAAAAGTAACAGCAAAGAACCAACTGAACTCTGGAGTAAAGAACATTTCAAAGCTGCTTCTTTAAAAAAATATGTGCATATTTCTGAGCTAACTCTGTTCAAAAGGATTTGCAGCAGAACCCAGTTAGCATTAAAAACCCAGCAGGCGGGAGAACATCAGAATCACTGGGAGGCTTGAAGAATGTCACTGTGAAGCTGCTGCTGTCTTCACAAAGAAAAGCATGATATAATATAAACACCCTGTGATTTGGAGAGAGGGATGCAGCAGTTACAGGGGTCTGTATCTCAATCGAAAGCCACAAATGTTTCTAAAACCATCTGAAACAAAAAGATGGTCTCTACGGCGAGATTAACACAGAAAAATAGGTTTTTTAAATCTCTTCCTGCGGCTGTTCTTCACAAATGTTTGTCTTTAAAATCTGAAGTCACTTTTAATCAGCCACAAAATGTACTATCGCTTTAAAATGGGTGTTCTATCTGTGGGTGACTTCATTTAGTCACATACAGTAAATGCCATGCGCTCCCTCTCTCTCTCTCTCTCTCTCTCTCTCTCTCTCTCTCTCTCTCTCTCTCTCTCTCTCTCT